AGATGAAAAAGTTACACACGCAAAGTACCAAGGGCCCCCCCGTACCCACCCCAATGGACCTTGTGGAAATAAATGGATTAGTCGTTGTGATAAATGAATGAAATTTAGCTGTGTATACCAAATTTCATTCATTTATCACAACGCGATTGAGAGATATTGCAAAAAAATGATTTCCATTCCTCCCTCTTCAATGGGTCCCTGTGCCCTTAGGAAGCATTTCCGGACCCATGTTCATATGAACTTTTTTACTTAGTTTTGATCATAGAATCGGCTTGTTTAGGGTTGGCAGCTAATTATGAGACACCCTGTGTATATGTATATTTTTGAAAAGAGAAATTCAAATATGCAGTAATACATAGGGTGTTCCATTAAACATTTTTTTTCTTTAATTTAGTGATTTCCATTGTTCAATTGCTTTTTCTAATACCTACTGTATTATAAAAATTCATAAAAAAGCTTTTTTGTAATGTCAATAATAAACTCACAATAAGTTGTCAGATTATAGTGACTAATCCTGTACAATATAACAGCAACATATCAAATTAAGTATTTTATTCTTCAGTTTGGGAGCAGTAAACAAAATTTTAATAGGACTCATTAATTGTGTATGTTAATTTGTATATTGCTAAACAATATAAATATAATTTGCAAACATATTTTTTAAAAACTTCCAACGTTGATTATCTTCCAATAAAACTCGTTTATAAATAATACTACATATAATTATTTATAAAGGTCATGCTGAATTTAAGGAATTACAATTTTTAATCTAAACATCTACTATAGTAGTTATAGTACCAACTTAATATCGAAATATTACAACTGGTTTCTCTCTACACTGTGACAATATCAAACGATAAATTAACAAAGTTTTTGGAACAAATCGTTATTCAATAAAAACTTTCTATTAGCAATGTCACACGTATTAACAGCTGATTCAACACAAACACTGATGATTTTAATTTCACCGGAAGCATTGCCCTCTATAAATATTAGTTCAATGAACATTTTAGCGTATATTCTGAAGGAACAATAAGATAATTAGGTAAACATGAATTATCTGAAGTAAATATGTAATTATTTGGAACCAACTCAAGACGATATTTGTTTTAGATTTCCTATTTTATCATTCTTATCAAACAACAGTGTTTGGATGCACTTAAATGAACAAGTAGTTGGAAAAATAATTTTCTTGTACTTATAGAATCCATACAACTAATAGGTATTATATTTACTGCTGACTATTCCTTAGATTTGGAATATACTTATATTGTAAAGTAATTTGGACAGTTATTTGTATAATTATCTGTGGTGTGGCTGTAGTTCTTTAATTTTTCGTTTTTTTTTAAATGTTTTTCGTTCTGGTATATAAATATACTGAACTTTGCTGCAAATTTGAACAGAATTATTAATTAATTGAATTGAAATTAAATGATCTTTATTTATTTCAGTTGATTAATCCAGTTCCAATTTTTTATGAATTTCTGCAGTATTTTTTTTAATGCAAGATGAGCTTACCAGATATTTAACACTCTTCCTATTATACGAACTGTCCGATTTATCTAGTTCCTTTCATATTGAGTCGGGTATAAACTTTCAAAAACAATAAAATTTCCATTTTATACATATCCATTCCAAATTAGGTTTAATTAAAAGCTACTTTCTATGGAGGAAATTTAGATACAACTATTATATTAAAGTTAAATAAGCAATAAGAAAATTTATTACAAAATTTCAAATTTGATATCCGTATAACAAATGCATTTGATATTCTTTTGGATGTAATAATAAACGACATTTTCTCGGTAAAGCTTTTAATTATTGTCTTCGCTTTTATAGATAAATAAGATTGATAGACTCTTAGAAGCAGCGAATGCTTTTGCCCTAAAGTATTCAATAAAGGTGACATAGCTTAAAAAAAAGTTATTACCTGCGTCACGTGACACTTGAATTTATTTTCAATTATCAAAAATGGTTAGCGACTTTCTTTATCTAAAATCTGATGGGTGACGGAGTGTGCCCCCGCATTTTTGTTTAGGTATGATATTTCATGAAAAATGTGAATTGCTAATTCTAAAATTAATATTATTGGTTTTTATCATTTAATTTCTTAAATAGATTATGCAAACGATGAAATCTGTAAATTAAATAATAATTTTTAATTTTACTGGATGAACTATTTAATTATAATGGCTACAACAGAACGACAAAAGAACTACAAATAATAACATGCAGATTCAATCTCAAATTTCTGAAATTTTTCTCAAATCTCCGATTTATTCTACGTTTTTGTTACATCGTACTCGGAAAATTTTTATGACATTTCTGAAATGTTTGGGAAGAAATTTCTCTGTAAATCTGAGTTATTCTCTCATTTATCTGTTGGCTAGATGATTTTTTATTTAACCCTCAAAGGACACACTTGGGGTGGGCCACCTCAAAGGTCACACTAGTGCGAATTGGGATTTTGTCAACTTGGTAAAATTTTCCGAGAAATCGAATGATGTAATTAGTTTTGAGAAGAAAATTAATTTGTTAATAAAAAATGCTATTGAAAAAAAAATTAAATTCGAATTTTTTTTATAAATAATGACTAGAGAAAAAGTAAAAAAGGATTTTGAAGATTTTGATCTTTGGTCTATATTGTTAAGAAAAAAGTACCCCGTATTGATAAAATGATATTATCGTTTTTTCCGGCATTTTTTGAAGTTGTGATTTTTGGCACCTTTTCTGTATATTGATATTTATTTTGCACTTTTTTTGTATAAATATATTAATTTAAACAATATGATCCATGAATATTGACAAAAACATGTTACAATTAAACTATTAATGAAAAAAAAAATGTTTGAAAAATTATTAACAATAACTAATTGTTCTAGTCAATTCAGTCCCACTTTTGTCCATACTAAAGTCACACTAGTGCGAATTCGCACCGATCGATATATTCAGAATCTCTAGTTTGGCCGATAATAACAGACTGAAACGGCTCTACGATGGTGCGAATTCACACTAGTGTGAGTTTTGAGGGTTAAGTATACCTCATAGGAAGAAGTGTAAAATTAAAAAAAAAGAAAATTAGTGAATACTTTATTTGTTTTTTTTTTAATTTATCTACTTATGACTCCATAGGTTGCTTGCCTTGTTTAGAAACAAAAACAAAAATAATAAAACACATTAATTTAATTTTACAATTAGCAATAAACATTTTGTTATGAAATTTGGTAATTTAAAAAATCGCTTAACATATTTTTCAATATTTTTTCTAATTTGCTTTGAAAACTGAAAATAAATTCAAACGTAATTTTTTAAACTGTTTCTTAAAAAAGCGAATTAAAACTGATGTTTCCATTATCTACTTGTATAGCTCTAAAGTATTTAAAAATTAAAACAATTCGTGTACATAGACATAGACTTCACAAAACAGAAGGGCAAATTTAAATTCACATATCTTATATTCCATAGGTAAAAGAATATAACTTTCGAATAAAAGGTATTCCAACATTTTAATTTGGATTTCAAAAAAAGTTACAAAGACTGATAGGTGCAGGACTAATGTGTAGGTACAAAAATATGAATATTTATCACCTACTACATCTACTTGCGCGACATACCGTGTCACCGTCTCCACGCTACTATACTGTGCTATATTAGATAATCATTATTTAACACCTTTAAAATAAATGTTAACCAAATATTTGTATTCTATTAAGAACGTTTATTTGATTGTGTTTACCAACAAGACTCACCTTGATGTCTAATCTCCACGGCACCTGTTCAACAACACTAACCGGTATTGTGGCGGTTCTCAGCCGGTATACTAGTCAATTCTGTTTATCACTAGCTCTGGTCACTTAGCATTCTCCCACCAAATAAATAAATAAAACTGTGGTGACCTCGGGTTATCCCCAAGACATAAGAGATTATACTTATAAGTATAATGATGCAGTATAGGCTTTAGACTGAGTGGTATATAATGATCGTATTACTGGAAATGCATTTGCGTAGAGTAAAATTTTTTAATTTAGGAGAAGTAGGTACCGGTTGGACGAGCAGATTTTGGAATTTAAATGACGTCTCATTCTCCAAACACAAATTTTTAAATCCATTAATTATTTTTATTGATTCTACTTCTTGTTTTTGGATTTACAGTACGCGCGCTATAAGGAAACGACGGAAAATATAAACGAAACAATTTTCTGAACATCCGGTCATACACTGAAGAATTATTTAAGATTTGGTTCTTTGGTCTTCCCTAAAAATGTCCGTTTAGTTGAAGATCTGGTTTATTGAGTCAGTTAAGAAAACTGAATGTTGGATAATTGTATTTTCGCAACTGCACTGCAATGCCGAAATATTTGGCAGTGACTCATGCTCAACCTGTATATCTTTTTGACTGATAACTAGAAACGACCGTTATAAGCATTAAAAAAAATCATTAATTAGTGTTGTCGCTATTGCCAATCCACTGTCACTGATACTAAATCTGCGCCTAAAGGTATTTAAGTGGTTCTATTGCAATTTCAACTCTTGTATCGATATCCTAGTTATTTATTTATTTATTTCAATTCATGTCAACACACCAGAATGTTTACACACGTCAAAAGAGAAGGAAAAGAACATAACTTAGTACGCTGAGATCACTTAATATAAAAAATATACAAAGATAGGTAAACTCAATATAAAATAGTTACAATATCATTAAAAATACTACAAACATACAAAACAATGCATGTAGATACTCCATTCGGTAATTCCATGACTTTTCTCCATACAGATGTTGGTAATGTTTCTATTTGTCGTCTATGGTAAGGCGCATTATCTATAGCAGTCACTGCACCAGGTTCGATGTGAGTCAAAATAGACGCAAATATGCCACTGTCCATATCCTCATAGTAATCACACGAATATCTCCGATATGTTTAATTTAATCACCGTCCTTTTCCCCAGAGCGCCTTCAATCTCGTGGTGATTCCTCACAAAATTAGGGTCACAAAGTCCTATAACAATTTTTCGAAAACTCAATATTAACGGAGATACAGGGTGTCAAAAAAAAATATTTTAGTTTTTCTTAGATAACTTTTTTTATTTGTGATTTGATTTTTTCCAAGTCTTTCCTATGTATTACTAGTGCCCTTGTAGATTTATGTTCCAAATATGATGCAAATACTCCAGTGCCAAACGGCCTAACCTGACCTTAATCCTTGATCTATGGCCCACAACTTTTTTGTTTTCACCGCTTTATAAATATGAACAGCACCATGTTAAAGAATATCAAAAATTATTTAAAAAAGTATCTCTTGTTGCGATCCAATAAAATGAACCGTTTCTGAGAAAAACGACTTCAAACATTTTCATGTGTTAACGCTGTTTTAAACTGATATTCACAGTTTCAACTCATCAATACAAAATTTATTCACTAACTACAATATTAAGTAACATTTTTATTTGGTTTATGCTCTTATAAAAAGTTGTCGAAATGTTGCCTTTCCATTCTTCTCAGAAAATTGCGACGAACCCTGGAGAATATGCCCTTTTTTGCTCTTATTATTGCAAAACTGTCAATAATTCGTTGCCTTAGCTCTTCCACGTTATTCACAGGCCTTCTGTATACCAGTGGCTTAACATAGCCCCAAAGGAAAATGTTGATCGGGTTCAAGTCGGGCGATCTGGCAGCCCACTCTATGAATCCACCACGCCCTATCCACCTCTCAGGGAAAATTTCATTGAAGTTCTCTCTCACCGTTAAATTGTAATGAGGGGGTGCACCGTCATGCAGTAGCCACATTGCACGTCGTACTTTTCCAACAAAACTGGCAGATCATTTTATAAAAAGTGTAGGTTAACCTCACCACCAAGCCTTTGAGGAAAGAAATGTGGCCCAACTAAATGATCTCCCACGATGCCAGCCCATACATTCACAGAACATTTATTCTGGAATCCACGTTCCACCACTAAATGAGGATTCTCGTCATACCAATAATGTTTATTATGTAGATTTATTACACCATCATGCCCGAATCCAGCTTCATCCATGAAAAGAATTGAATTGATGAAATTTCTGTTGCCATAATGGAGATTTATAATTGTCCTGCAAAAATTCAGTCGTGCAATCGGATCTCTAGGGAGTAGGGCTTGGACTTTTTGATAGTGGAATGGATGCAGGAGTTGTTCCTGCAAAATTTTATGGACTGAGCTTTTGGGAATATTTTCCTGCGATGCAATTAACCTAACGCTTATATCAGGATTATTATCAACCACATCCATTTCACGAATTTCAGCCGCAGGAGTTCGAGTTCGTCGTGGGGGACCGACCTCAAACCACCTCGTCATAAAAGAGCCAAAGTCACCCAATCTATGATGAACAGTACTGAACAACTGCGGTCGTGAATTCTTCTATTTGGAAATGCATCTCGATAAAAACGTTCTACTCTTGATGCATTTCCCGCAGCTAAGCCATAATAATAATGCATGTCGCGCAGCTCCTCATTCGAATATTTATTATAATTATTATTGTTATTATTATTATTCATTTTATCAGTTCTAATCACGATACTTATTACACACAAATGATCACAACAGAATAATTCACATAAATATTATCTGTCAAAAGTAGCTAAGGCAACATTAAGTTATTGTTTTCAAAGCCTCCTTTGTAAATCTTAAAAATCAGTTTAAAGCAGCGTTATCGCATGAAAATGTTTAAAGTCGTTTTTCTCAGAAACGGTTCATTTTATTGTATCGCAACAAGAGATACTTTTTTAAATAATTTTTTTATACTCTTTAACATGGTGCTGTTCAAATTTATAAAGCGGTGAAAGCGCTATTTATTTTAAAAGTTGTGGGCCATGAATCGAAGATTAAGGTCAGGTTAGGCCCTTTGGCACTGGAATATTTGATCATATTTGGAACATAAATCTACACGGGCACTAGTAATACATAGGAAAGACTTGGAAAAAATCAAATCACAAATAAAAAAGTTATCTAAGAAAAATTAAAAAAAACAAATTGTTTGACACCCTGTACTTATCTCCGTTAATATGGAGTTTTCGAAAAATTGTTATAGGACTTTGTGACCCTAATTTTTTGTGAGGAATCACCTCTTGAAGTCTTGACACATAATTTCCGGACACCCTGTATAGTCCAGATTTATTCCTATGTGATTATTGTATGTTGAGCCGCTGGATCCATGAACTATAGACGTTTTGCGCTATTGCTAAATTAATTTCTACCAAGACAACGCTGCTAGACTTTTGATTCGTTAGGAAAAATATATTTTTTAATCCAGAATTGAATGTCATGGAGTAACCTCGTGGGTGGTGTGGAAACGAATGCAATTTCAAAAATATTTTTAGAAACTGTAAATTTACCAATCTTGTAAATGTCCGATGCCTAGAACGCGAGATATTTGCAAAAAACTTTGACTTTCAATACCTTGGGCAGCTATCAGCTATGTTGTGATTTTTGTAACTTTTGCGAATTCAAAGAACATTCCATCGCATCCTCTCATTCCTTATCACTGTCTAATAACTCTCACGAAATCTGGAATCGGTAAGTTAAATAGTTTACAAGTTATGGCTTTATAAACAAATTAACTAATTATTAGTCTGGACGATCCCGAGGATCTTCCACAATCGCAATGATTTTTTCATGGTAGATTTCATAATAATACATTGAAATCTATATATTTTTTTAAATTTCAAATTTGCAACCCGGAATGTTTTTTTATTTTTTAACCTTAGTTGCAAAATGAAATATACGACGCACGAGCGTGATTTAGTTATACAGGGCTGGAAAATTCATATGGTCCATCTCCCTTTACATGAGGGCGACAAAATAAAGTAAAGAAATCCTTGTCTATCGCACGGATTTCTATGACTTTCTTTATCGCTCTCACGTAACGGCCGATGTACCATGGGGAGTTTCCGAACTTGTATATTATTACATATTCGGAAAGCTTATGAAAAGAGCTTTAAGTTAAAAAATCGTCAAGATTCGTTCAAAAACAACGGAGTTACAGACTGTCAAAGTTGACGGCCGATTGTTAAACAAATTAGGTTGGTAGGCAACCCGAGTACTTTCCCAGGAAAAATATTTTATTTGTGGAAGTATGTTAAGTGTATAATAGCTGTTTTACATTGACAATTTATTGATCAATTAATTCATGAAGTTGCTTCATCAAGAAATTGGACAAGTGTAATGCACCAAATCTACTGTCAAATAACTTCATGAATTTATTCATCAAGTTCTTGACGAATTAGAGCTTGTTCTAAAATAGCTGTTTTACATTGACAAATTATTGATGAATAAATTGACGAAGTTCTTCATGAATTAATTCACGAATTTATTGGTAAACAGTGGTTTTCCACTCATAATTGCAGTGATACAACAGCGGTACCGTTTTGACACATATTATAGAAATATTAGTGTTTGTAAGTAACAAATCAGTAAAACAATGCAAAACTAGCACGACGCCACACAATTATTTACATATTCCAATAACATAACCTCATTACTGACCTGAGGCTGGAAATCTGTTGGGTTGGTACTTCCGAACTTCACGAAGAAATTGACGAAAATTAGAACATGCTCTAATTCGTCAAGAATTGATGAATAAATTCATGAAGTTATTTGACAGCAGATTTGGTGAATTACACTTGTCCAATTTCTTGATGAAGCGACTTCATGAATTAATTGATCAAAAAATTATCAATGTAAAACAGCTATAAGAAATATTGTCAAATGTCAGTGGGTCGCTATTTTCGGCGAGCCGTGGCGCGGCGGAAGGGTGGGGGAAGCGAACGACAGCGAGTCCAAAGAAAATGACGATAATA